GGATCATTGTGAGTTTGAGACCAGCCTGGGCTACAAAGTGAGCTCAAGGCCAGCCTGAACTGCATAGCGAGACCCTGTCTCAAAAGGCAAAAAGAAAACAAAAAAAAAGGAAAGAAAGAAGCAAAATGATCACTTCACGAATTTCTCAAATTTTGTAAGGTATTGTTAGATTCTAGAAAACTGTTTCCTGTGGCTGATATGACACCTGTGTGGGGACCTTCCTCTGTCAGTATATCTCTGAGGCATACAAAAGGATTTCTGCTCTTTTAAACTAAGAAAAATAATAAACAAAAACATCCTGCCACCATTTTGACTTTGGTCAATATGCAATAGCAAAAAATTAAACCACACAAAATACTACACAAGCCCCATTTGGTAGCACATGCCTAGAATCTCAGCACTTTGTGGGGTTTAGGACAGGAGGATGGCAAGTTAGCCCAACTGGGAAGTTAAACCAGACTCTGTTTCAAAAATACAAAGTATGGGCCAGGGATATAGCTCAGTGGCATAAGAGCCTGCCAGGCAAGTGCAAGTTCCTGAGTTCAATTCCTAGTACCAAAAAAAAAAAAAAAAAAAAAAAAAGTAGCTGGGTGCAGTGGTGCATGCCTGTAATCAAAGCACTCGGGAGGCTGAGGCAGGGGGATTGCCACAGTTTGAGGTCAGCTTGAGCTACATAGTGAATTCAAGGCCAGCCTGAACTACATAGTGAGACCCTGTTTCAAAAAACAAATTTAAAAAAAAAGAAGTAAAAAATGGGCTAGGGATGTGGCTCACTGCAAAGGTTCTGGATTCAAAACCACCAAAACCCAAAAACTATACAATGGTCCCCGAGTCACCAGCCCATCCCACATTCCCAGACCCATACCTCCGAAGGGTAATGTCACATAAAATTTCTGGTAGATCTTTCCAAAAAATTTACACCTACATCCTATATTTTACACAAATGGAAGTATATTTATACATCATTCTGTATCTAATAGATATTGACAATTATTTTTTCTCTTTTTGAGACAGGGTCTCGCTATGTAGTTCAGGCTGACCTTCAGCTCACTTTGTAGCGCAGGCTGGTCTAGAACTCGCAACGATACTCCTGCCTCAGCCTCCCAAGTGCTGGGATTACAGGCGTGCGCCATCATGCCCTGTCAGATCTCGACAATTCATATCAGCACATAGTTGTTTTTTTTTTTTAAAAAAGCACACACTGTAGCACACACTACTTGTGCCAAAATTAATCTAACCACTGCACGAGGGTGGACTTCACTGTGATCATCCTTAATTCATCACGAGGTCCAACATGATTTCCTTTCGAAGGACTTCACTATAATATTTTTCTGTGCAATTTTTCTTTCATCATGTAGAAAATCTTCCTCAAAAGCTGAATCATACAGATAGATGGGGAGGTTGGCTACCATGTGTCAGGAAATCAGCTCTCTACTTAAAATCGTACTCTAATCCCTCAAAATTATTATTATTATTTTATTTTGAAGAGTAAAAGAAGGATAACATAGTAATAGGGGGAGCTTACCAAATTACAGACAAAGTGGTAGGAAATTATCAATGGTTATTGTTTTACATATTGTTATCTACAAGATAGTTTCTCAAGAAAACAAATAGACAAATAATAGTGAGTTACAGACAAAAGAGGTAGGAGGTTATCAGTAGTTGTACTGTACTTTCGTATCTTCAAAGTGGCTTCTAAAGAAAATAAATTGAGCTATACGTGAGTGACCTATTGAATAATCATTAACTATTCTCAATGGTTGTTGTAGGAAACACATAATAATAAACATGCATCCATTTACTAAATAGGATAGGAAGAATACAAACATTAGAGTTATGGACAGATTAGTAGGAAAATATCAATGGGTGCTGTAATACATGGTGGTATCTTCAAAGTGGCTTCTCAGGAAGACAGAGATACGCAAGAAGGATCTAACAAATAGTTACAGCCTAAGGGTTGTGAAATATAGCAGATTATCTCCTCACCAGTGACTCCTGTCACTGAGGTGTGACGGCTGGATGGAAGGCCAGGACTGAAAAGGAGGATCAAGAGACTTGCACCTGTGTCTAGCAGCAGGCTGTTTTCTTGTTCCTCCATAGTCATGATTACCCATGGCTCTTCCAAGGAGATGACAGTCTGGCCAGAGGGAGAA